TACAGTTGCCAGTGTAGTTGAACTTTGCCCAACTCAACATTCGTCGCCGTAAGATATCTTGCCTCAGTCATACGCGTGTCGCCACACAGTTTTCTTTGAATTTCCTTAATTTTCCGTAAGTTCTCGTTGAGCAATATTAGCGTTTGTGGCTTATGCGGCGTTACATTAAGTTTAGACAAGAAATTTCCGCTTTCATGTCGCTTCATTTACTCGGCATCCTTCTTTTCATGCATCGCTACTCTCTCTCCTCTATCGCTCTGATACACTAACTCTCTTCTTTCTACCCCTCTCGCGCTCATCCTCTCCCTCTGCCGTGCTAACCCCACGTCATTTGCCTTAAAGTTTTTGTCAGAGTTTACACTTAATTAGCGTTGGAACTCTTGTCGCGCTGCTAGTTGCCATGCAAATTCAAAGATGTCCGCTGTGCCGGCGTCACTTTATGCGAGTGCGTCGCAAAATTCGCAAATACAAATTCAAATGCAAATGTAATTGCAATGGAAATGAAGTAGGAAATGGCAAGATTTTCCGATGAGTTCATTGTTGTTTTAGTTTTATTAATTTTTTTCGCTTTCATACGGAATGCCACTAAGCAAAGGCGTATTCTCTTGGTTGCTGCTCCTTCATGCCTTCATGGTCATTGTGACGTTTTGTTTGTCTTTTTTTTCTAGCTTTTGTTCGCCTTCTTGCTCGGTCACTTCGTTAGCACAATGCTTTTACGCTAATTTCTCTTATATTATTTTATTTGAGTTTAGTTCGCTGCAAAAGATTTTTTCCAGTTTCTGTCTTCTTCTTACTTTTCATACACATGCATATAATTTTAATATTTTTCGTTTTATTGTCTGCAAACTGCACTTTTAATTAGTTCAAGAATTTATTGCGTTGCTCAAACAAATTCGCTAATTAAATATTCACTGTAATTTCGTGGAAAGTTTGGACCAAATGCAAAAAGGAAAAATTAATAAAGGAAATGATTTTTTATAAATAAAAATGGAATGTTTCATAGCGAAGAAATACCAAAAAAACTTAATAAATACCCATACCGTATTCTTGTACTGAAAATTTCCATCACCATATCAGAAAATGTACATAAGGCAAAAGCTTCCAAACTCCAACTTTGATGTCTTGAAGCGACGTTGTCCTGTCTTATGCTTAACGAGGCTCCAAAGAAATAAGTCACAAGGCGTTGAATCCCCAATTGCGATCACCTCTACGAGAGATAAGACAGTCTCTTAAGTGATAGATGACTTCATTGGTTGTGTGGCATGTAGCGTCGCCTTGTCGAAAGTATACGTTGTCCAGATCAGCAACATCCGATTCCGACCATAAAAAGTCATCAATCATCTTTCGATAGCACAATCCATCCAACGTAACTGTGTCCACTGCCTTAATTTTGAAATAAAGTAAGGTTCGTAAATTGCACCAAACAGTCACACGTTCAGGATGAAGAGGCTTTTCAACAATAAATCTTCGGTTCTCCGACTCTCAGATGACAGATGAAAATTAGCCTCATCAGCCAAGATGGTTTTTCGACAAAATTGCGGATAACTTTCGTGCATTTTACGGACCCTATCAGCAAAGACATGACATTGATGAAGATCGTCTGGCATGAGTTCTTGTGTTAACTGAACTTTATTAGCTTTTAGACCCAAGGTTTTATGCAAAATACGGTGTAATTCCAAAGAACGACTGGGAATGAACAAACGTGGGTTTTTTCAACACTTCAGCAGTAATCGGTTAAGCTTGAGCGTTATGCAAGTTAATAATTTTTGGCATCGCTGACTTGTCCCAAAAGCTCCATTTTTTCCGCCAATTTTTATTATTGCGGTCCGACAAGGTGTTATGCACTATCCCTGCCTGATTTTCACCATTTTTATAGTGAATTTTAATAATTTCAATGTCGTTCTTTTTTATTACTGACGTTGGTTTTATATGTCGAATGTCAAAAAGTTGCAGCTTCAAAAGTGAAATCTATCGGAATAGTAAGCTATTCAAAACTACATCTATTATTTGTATGTATGGGTCACTATGAACGTCTCGAAGTAAGTCAAACACACCATTCGGATATATCTAGGCTTATTCACATTCAAATTGAACATATAAGAATGGGTTGGTACCCACAGCTCAAGAATAATGTACATAACTAGCCACGTTCTTAGCTTTTATCCACCGGAATATCGGCGATTCCTTTTCCTTAAAGAAAGTTTTATTTATATTTCGACCAAATCTAACTTAGTTCAATGTCTCTGCTGCATTTTCTGAAAACAAAGTAACCCGATTTATGCATTCAAAAGTTTAACTAAAACGAGCAATGGGTACGTACATTTTTTCAAACACATCAGTTCACTTCCCACAGAATTTCAAGTAAAAATAACTTCAGTAAATATAATTTCCAGATCCTTTTACCGGATAGAAGAGCAGTCTTCTTGGTAATCAAAGAAAACTGCCGCCTATGCACCGAATTTCACGTAAATCGAACGACGAACACAATTTTATTGAATAGTTCAGTCCCTGGCACACTTCCGGCCCACCTTTCAAATGGACCATCCCAGGATCCATAGATACAATCTGGCGGAATTTCAAGGCAGTCGGTCGGTAACTTCGAGAGATTACCGAAACATTACAGAGGATGGAAAGATTTTTAAATTAATTCTTAGATTTATGTGAATAGTTTTTGGTTTTTAATAGATACTTTTAAAGTCTGCCACAAAAATCTTCTTACTCTACTGTACTCCATTTCTCTTGATAAAGCTGTTTTTGTCAAAGAAAATTAACTGATCGTTTATAAAGAAATATCTTGAGGGAACATGAGTATATATCTTCCTAAAATAATCCACTAACTTGATTTAAATTGAAGGCACCCTTTTTCCTATTTTCACAAAACTTTAACAAACGATTTTAACAGGCTTCTCTTGAGGCCAATACACTCAACAGCCAAATCATTCACCATAGACAGGAGCAGACTGAAAATATTTTGTGAAAGGTCCGGATTATAATGCGGATGCATAAGAACCTACCAATCAAGATATAAGAGCTTCTGGCTACTCCTATCGAAGTGCGGGGTCTAGCATGGGCCTGACGAAACAGTATAGGACGGGTATGATGAGCGACTTGTAGAGTTAGGTTTTAGTTCATCGAAAAAGGACTGGACTTTCTTATTGCCTACTCAGTTCAAGCCACTGCGTTGGATTCCAAGGCTGACATTGTTATTGGTGTTAAGGCTGGGGAAATTATCTACGACCTCGCCTCCCAACACAGATAAAAGATTTTACCTTGTCTATTGAGCTCTGCAGCTCTTATTATTCTCTCCAGCATCTAATTGAAACAATGAAATGATAGGGAGTCACACTGTCTGAAGTCTGTGGCATTTTAGTTGACAATATATATATATGTACACTTGCTTTTACTCTCGACTTCACTCGCATGGAATCCATTAAATAAGTATCGTAGTTCATTACAATAGAAATTTATCAGTATGATATTTTGATAAAAAAATAAATCATTTTTTATTCTAGCAATTAAAAAGATAAAATGCTGAGCGATATTCTAGGTTAATATTATAAACTATGTAATGGGTTTTTCCCTCGGGTGCAAACGAAAGAGGATCAAGACTTTTTTCGAAATGCTCTCTGTGCTTATATTATAATAACAGCGAAGATAAGCTTATAGACAAGCTGAACTCTTTCCAATTAGAAAGGAAGATCAGTGGCAATAATTGGAATCCGAGATATGACAACATTTTCTCGCTAGATGAGACCTGTTAAAATAGTAGCACCTAGTATTTTCGGGAACAATTTTTTCATACGAAGTCTTGTTCCACTGCACAGCCGAGAAGCAACTGGATTTCGAATATGCATTGTTGGTATATTTATGTAGTTTCAATCGAAATTTATAGAACGGTAATCCCTGTTATGTTCTTACGCCTACACAAAATTTGTATACCTTGTTTCATGGCGATCGGTTTAGTAGTTTTGCGTGAAAATTTATTGACAAACTCACATTCACATTTAGAAAATATATTAATAGGGATTTTTATAATCCCTCAGATTCCGTAAATGCTCTGAATAAACTGTATTAAGTGAAAGTATTGCGGCTGCTGCTTACCATTACATACTGCCGTTCGGAAGGCTTAGGTTGAAGTCCTGGTAAGTTCAATATCCAAAGGCGGCTTAGTATAAGCTGTAGGTCCATCTCTTTTTTGGAAAATCACCAAGGTGCATGAACCACAAATTGGAGAAGGAGCTCCACCAAAAATCGCTTCAGCGGTTACTAAGCACCATAATATATTTATATAAGTTAAACTGTCAACTGTACTCCAAAATCTGTTCGAGAAATATACATGTAGCAAAATACAGGGAAAAACAAGTAATTTTCAAAATAAAAAAAGTTCTTTTATTAAATTAAATTTAGTACAAAACTTAAATACTCACTAAATGTATTTTAACAAAAATTTAAAAATATATTTTTCTTCGTAGGTAAATTAAATTTATAAAAAATAATAGTTTACCCATAATCTATATTTATCTTAAATATTTACTTTAATTATAATACATATGATTTATTAAAATTATTTGCTTGATAAATAATTTTTAATTTAAATTAAATATGATTTTTAGAATTTCACATATTATTTATTTTTTTTTTTCAGTAAAGGAAGCCATGTGTTTTAAAAAATGTTACAACATTTTTACAAAACTCATTTAAAGTTAAAAAATATTTAGCTTACTTACAAGTTTATTATATTTCTTTTATAGATATTTTATATTAAAAAAGTGTATTTTGTGTTTCTTAGCTACATAAAACGTATTCATATTATCAAATTTTTTTTCTATTATTAAAACTAATTTATAGAGCTTTTTATGAAGCTTCGAAAACATTTTTTAAATAATTTTAATGTAATTTTAACTCCATTTTAATGTATTTAAATGTTTTATAAATAATTAAAACTATTAATTTATACATATAAAATTATGAATATGTATTTTGAAATTCAAATATGTTTAAAAATTTTTTTTTTTTTAATTTTTTAAAGGATATCAATCGAAAGGACAATAAATCAAAAGCTAACTTAATAACTTTTTAATTGCAAAACCTGATTTTTATTAAACTTATTGTTATCGTTCAAAAATTGTCCAACCGGAGACGACTACTTACAGCCGGACAAAATCTGAACAAGAACTTAATTTTAAAAATAAAAATAAAAAAAATTAAAATTAAAAAAAAATTGCGCTCAGTTATACCAACTTCAACAGTTTATATGACTAAAATCTTTTCGTAATATTTTCTCATTCTTTCTTGTGCAACTTATTCGTTTTCACTCTATTTCTTTGCCACTATTTCGCATTTTCCTACTCTCCTCCTTTCCGCAAACACCTGTCTTCTCCTTCACTAATTGAGATATTCCTTGGTAAATACATACTTACGAATAGCATTTTGTCATTTACTCATTTTACTTTCACATGCAGTCCACCCTTGACAACTGCCTCCGCTGGCGGAAATCTTCTCGCCTGACTAATATCACTCTTCCTACGTATGCCGGCGAAGAAGCCACCACCACGTCGTGGCGCTGTAACAACAGTAGGTTTCGCTGATGTTGTCGGCACTGACATAGCGCCGGCCGTCTCCTCGGCTAAAGCTTCATCTACAGCCTCTGCCACACCAATTGCCTCAGCCATGCCAGCCACTTCTGGCACAACTTCTACCTGACCCGTGCCATCCGCCACTGTCAGTGTAATCGGAATTGCTGCTTCAGCCAACGGCAATTGATCATTGCTACGCGCTTCGGACTCTTCCTGTACAACTGCGCCAGCTCCCGTTGCTGGTCGATATGTACGTATGCCTGAGTTTGAACGTACGGGCAGTAATGTGACCAATTGTGGTGCCGTTTCCGTTGTGGCATCCGCCGCAAACTGTGATGACTTCAACATTTCCTCGTATTTATTTGGGTCGATGACCTCCACCTCGGCCTCTCCTACAACGGGTATGGCCGCACCGATGCCCTCAGATGATGTGTCCTCCATAAAACTGGACATCGGTTTGATGAATGGCTCTTGTCGTTGTAACGGAAGTTCAATGAAATGTTCCGTTGTGGTTGTTGTTGTCGGGGCTGTTGGCATGGCCGGTGGTGCTTTTAGTGTTGTTGATGTGGATGTGGATGTTATTGTGGTGGGTTTGGCTGGCCTTGTTCGCAGAGTTGGCGTTGTTGTTGGTGGTGCGGTTGTTGTTGTAATCATTCGACGATTTGTTGTTGTTGCCGCTAGCCAAGGCATTTTGGTTGCAGCAGCTGGTACTGCAGTTATTGTACCTCGTCTTGTGGTGGGCAACCAATGTCCCGTTGTTATTGCCGTCGGTTGGTCTCTAATCGCTAATGGACGTGCTGTGGTCGTTGTTGTTGCTGCTGCCGCTGTTGTTGTTATTGCTGTTGTGGTGGTGGTGGTGGTGGTGGTGGTTGTGACTGGCAACTTTTTTCGACTTTCACTTGGTACTTGCGTATGCTTGAGCTTGTTCTGTGAGAATGGCGGCACTTTGGTCGGTACCATGGGCGTTATGCCCAACTTGGATGCCAAAGTATCGAAGATGAGCGAGATGTCTTGTATGTTGGTCGCATTGTTGATGCGTGTCTTGATGTCATTCAGTGTGAAATTATCCTCCGTGTTACCATCCACATCCTCAGATATCCATGCTTGTAGTGTCTTATTGAACACCTTGCGCATATTACCCGTATGGCCAAAGCTATTGGTCGCCGAACTGTTTACAAACTCCCATTTCGACTGCGATGGAAAGAGATTGGAATCATCGAGAATGGTCGGGGGTTTCTGGTTGTAAGTCGGTCGTATGCGATTCCAATTTGTCCCTGGTGGTTTTAAGCTAGAGCTATACAACTCTGGCTGAGGGGTCGTGGAGGTACTTGTGGTCGGCGTCGTTGTGGGCGTAGGCCGTCCAGTTATGTTATTCTCAATATTACGAGTTTGGTTCTTAGCCTGATTTCGTTTCAAAATTAATTCTTTGATATTGAGAAAAGTGGGTTTAGTGGTAGTTACTACCTCCTCTACAGATTCCACAACGGGTTTCTCAATAATTTCGGCTGGTATAAGCTCTGCATTCTTAGCTAGCTCTTCTGCGTTTTCCGCTGCCTCCTCTAATTCAAATGACACCACTACTACATCATCATCTGACGGTAGATCCTTAGTTTCTGGTTCAGCTTCCACTTCTTCCACATGCTCCTCTGGCTCTACACGTGATTCAATTGGTTCCACAGTCGTTGTTTTCGTTGCATTGCGAGCATCCTCTTTTGGCAAGTTCAATAAGCCCATGAAGAACTCACCAATTGTGTCCGCCAACTCAGAATTTGCACTAGATTCTATGCGATTAATGTTTGGCGTGCTACTGACTTTTGGTCTGAACGTTGTTGATGGCACAACCTCCGCCGACAACGACTGCGTCCATGTTGGTATCTCAGTTTCACTGTCATTCTCATTGGCTGCCACATTCGCATTTGGCTTCGACTTCTCTTCACCTTCCGCCAACTCCAATTCATGCTTCTTAACGATGACACCACCGCCTAAATGCTCAAACTTTTCGTTGCTTTCAATCGCCAACTTATCCATACCTGGTATGAGTGGTCTGAATGGTGGAACGATGACGTCATCAATCAGCGGTACTGGCAATGGATGTGGTTTAACATGCGCCCCAGCGCCCAACCGCTCAATATCTTCAGTGCCCGGCATAAAAACTGGATTTCCGAAACTATGATAGAACATCATATCCTGTGAATTTGGCGCTTCAGCACTCATCTCCGGCTTGCGAACAGCTGTACCAAAGAAGCCGGGTGCATATGGATTGAACGCTGCTGGTGTAGGCGGTGATGGGTTATCTGGTATGAAAGGTAATTCCATCTCATCGATACGACGTGTAGGCATATCTGGCCTGAAAACTGGCGCTAGCGGTGCGACCGGTAAAGGCTTTTCCACACCTGTCAGTGTTTTCGTTGGAAAAGCAGGTGGCGGACCAGGTAATAATTCAGGCACTTCACGATGTATCGGACGCCAGGGTTGTGTGTCTAACACTGGAACAGATGAAAAGAGATTGGCATCTAGCTTCGGCACGGTCAAAGAGATGGACGGTGTGGTCATGGGTGCTAAGCTGAATTGGTTATTTGGCGTGAAGCCAGTAGGCGGTGGAAATGTCAGTGGCCGTGCGGTGGTCGTGCTCGGCGCAACTGTAGTAGTCGTTGTTGTCGTAGATGGCATTGTAGTAGTAGTAGTAGTAGGTGGTAATGTTGTTGTAGTCGTAGTGGTCGTAGTGCTCGAGCTGCTAGTACTAGGCGCAGTTGGTTTGCGCGTTGTAGTTGTCGTTGTTGTTGTGGTCGTGCTAGTCGTTGTCGTAGTTGTTGTACTCGTAGCTTTAGTCGAACTAGTACCACGAGTAGTACTTGTCGATGTACCAGCCGCTGGCGTAGGTGATGGTTGATTCTGCGGTATAATCGTAGTCAACTTTTCAATTGAAGGCTTCTTCGGCTTTACGCGCAACGCAAATGGTGTCACAGCTTTTGGTGGCAAACTGGAGTAAGCTTTTGTAGGCGTAACCTTCTTGCGTGCAATATCTGCATCGGTCTTCGTTATTTCGAAAGAGCCTTCAAAGGAGCCTTGTATAACTGGCGCATTCTCTACATCCACGTCGGGCTCATCGTCAACCGAGTGAGGTCGATGAGTGGTGCGTGATTTCGCAGTGGTTGGCGGCTTCGAGAGTAAAGTTGGTGCATTTGGCTTTTTCATAAGACGTTTCTCAAGCTGTGACTGACTGGTGGGTTGCTGTACCTGAAAGATATGAGCGGTGTAAGGAAGTGGAGAGAGTTTTAGATATAAATAAATGACTTACAGCATCCTTGAAGAGCGACGCCGAACGTACGACTGACTCATCCAGTATTCGTTTTATCTCGACCGATTCGGCATCTATGCGTAAGGAGCGATAGAGGGACTTAGCGGCTGTAGTTTCCAGAAAAAATGATTCCTTAATATAATCTTCGACGCTATGAATGTTTCTAAATAAAAAAAAATGTGATTAAACTTTTGGTGACTGTGTGTGTGTTTTCATCTAACTTACTGCGGTAATTTTCTCACATCCAGGAATGTACGGAAAGACACCTTTATCAGCGGACCTTCGCCAAAACCCCACGTATCTACGCGCAACGGCTGCAAGCCATTATCCATCAACGAGCGTTCAATGAAACGTTTATAAAATTCAATCTTCTGCTTGTATGTAGTCGTGTGATTGTACTTTAGACCAGTCGAGAAGAGATCACCTTTCGCAATGCGAAACGAACCCTCGAAACCCAGCACAGCTGTGAGGGAAGAATTCTTGTTTTGTTTTGTTTCATCTAATGAGAATAACTCCAATTATACTTACGATCTTCCAAATTCGCTTTCACCGAACTAAAGTAGAACGCCAGCCCAGCTATTGAGATCACAGCCAGCAATACAATAAACACAGCCGATGTAAGAATAATGGAGAACGAGCGCGGCTTCTGATAGTGTGTGTGCGTTTTGGCGGAGAACGTTGAAGGCGCTATGTTGCGACCATCGCGCCATATACCCCACGCATTATAACTGTATTGACTATTGAGACTGTGTTCGTTCGTGTACGAAGGCTGTTTATTCATGTGGTAGTAAGCGCCGAGTGTTGAACGACGGCCCAGTGTGTTTTGGTAGGTGTAATCGTTGGACTGAAAGTAGAAAAACGAAATACAGAGAAATTAAAATATATATAATTAAAATGTTTTAAAATTTTTAAAGCAAATAAAAATTATTTTACAACATCTTTTTTTTCATTTATTTTTTTTTGTTTAATGTTTAAAATAAAACTTAAATATAAAAAATAATTTTTTTCAAATTATCAGTTAGAAAAATATTGCAAATTATATTGGAATTCAACAAATAGTCTAAAAAATTTTCTTATTTAGGCAAGCTGCTATTCACTTGATTACTTTCAATTTAGTTCAGACCGGTTTGATATATATAAACTGACGGTCGATATAGTAGTTTCAGTCTAAGGAAGTTAGATGTAGCACGAATCTCTGGAACCATTTATCTGAAAACGATTACATCGCTCTCGCCGATTTGTTATTATTCCAAATTGTAGTCTCTGTTCGAACTTAGACCTGGTCAGCTGACTCAACGTTTAGCTCGTCGTCAACGATAGTCTGAATATTAGTCACCATATCACCATTTTTGTTTCCTATGTGAGTATGTTCTAGTTTTGGTCTGTAAATTGCTACATCTTCCCATTGTATTCACGAGCGTCAGTATGCTCATGCTTCTTCAGGTATTTCTCCCTCTCTCTCTCTCTCCCTCTCTCTCTGTTCATTAATACGCTTACTTCTATCATTAATTCCTGATATCACATACGAGTAGATAGACAGTCACATTGTACTAGCTTTTCTTTTGACTTTGTCGAAAACCAGCAGTAGTGTTTTCAGAGAGCAGAATTTGCAAGGTAAGCATAGATTCAGCTGACTTTTGTCACAGAAACTAATGGTTCAGACTCCAATAATCCGGGCTCCATCACAATTTTGTATTTTCAGCTCATTTTCATCATAAAAACTGTTGTGCCAAGAAAATATCTTTGTGTCATTGAAATCACTAAACTTAATAAAATTTTAAAGTTGTTTTTGGCGCTCATACAACACATAACTCTCTCACTACAAATAAACATAACGCAGAATCTGTACTCTTTCTAGGCGACCGCCGCAGTATGTTTTATGTAGAATTGTCTTCTATATATATCCCCTTCAAAATTTCTTTAACTTTTACAGTCATAAGTATGGAGGAGGACGTTAGAGGGCATGCATCTCTGAAATCACTATTCTTAGAATTCGAGTCTCTCATTTGAGAATTTAGCAGATTTTTTCTGCCTCCGAAGAGATATTCGTTGACTACTCACTCTCTTGATGAATGACCGTCAGAAACTCTTTTTCATACTCATTTTCCCACCCATCTTTCAGCTCACTTAACAGGAAATAAAAAACTATTTCCCGCAACCTACCCATTTGAAAGTGGTTTTGTAATGCAGTTTTAAGCAAATAAGGAAGATTAACCAAATTAACTGAAGAGCCGAAAAATTAATGCTTAGTTGTAATTTAAAAAAAAATACCAAGATCGGTTAAAATTTAAAGAGATAAGCCTGTTTCTGGATCAACCAAATGTCAGTCATTCTAAAAAGGCTTTAGGCCCCATTTAATGTAGCATATCTTTTCAGTGTTATCGGGTTCGGTAATTAGTAGTTGCCCACATAAAATCCGTGTTCATACTGGACCATTGGGAATTATAAATATACAAATTTATTGACTCGTTCCAAGGTTTCTAGTGGCTTCTGAGATAAAGGTTTTCATCCAAATCATCTGTAAGAAAACTGACTTCAAATTTTCTTTGAGCAACTTTCTTTAATTATCACATTTTTGTACTTTTCAAATTTACCGTTATGTAGGAGGTGAACGTGAATTTGAATTCGGTCCATTCTTGTGACGCAAGAAAAAAGTAGAACAATTTTCTTCAAAATTTCTCAATCATAGCTTGAGATGCCGTATACAGAGGTGGAAGGTCACACGGAGGAGCATACGGACTGATAAGCAGACATGGCTAAATTGTCGATAATGTAACGAAAATCGTTGAGTCTGACCGAGTTGATGCGAGCTCTGCTTTGATTCCCATTTGAAAAAGACTAAGTACACAAAGGAGCGCGCTGTATGGAAGCCACTTGAGCCATCAAGAAAAAATCGCAAGGGCCGAACTTCCGTCTGCAAAACGCATTATAACTTTTGATTAAAAGTGGATCACTTACAGCAACGCTAAGTGAAAACGGTCGTGGTCGAAGGGTAGTGAGCTTGCACAAACGGGCTCCAAGCCGGGATTGACGGGCAGGAAAGTTTTTTTTTGGATCTGGATTGATAAGGAATCATTCACTCTGGGCAACTGCTCTACGGCCAAACTCCTAATTTGTTCATGTGAATGTGAAGGAAGCAATCGCCTAGGCGTAGCAGTAGCCAGCAGGGTGAACTGTATTCCGACAGGACAACGCCAGGCCACACACAGCTTGGTTTGGAAGTTATTTTGCATTCACCTTATAGTCTTCATCTCGCACCAAGTGTTTATCATCTGTAAAAGTCTATGGGGAATGGTTTGGTTGGTGAAGAACTGGTCTCAAGAGAAGTCTGTGATTAGCGATTTTCGCCATTTTTTGCCAATAAAAACAAAGGTTTCTATGACGAAGGCATAATAATTTACTCTAAATATGCCTAGAAGTTATCAAATAAAAAAGTGCACACTTGACATAAGTCGGGAAGTTCTAACTAACGGGGCGTTTGCAATTAGAAGGATAAATATTCTATATTTTGTTTAATGTTGGTCGAGCCAGGACGCGAAACATGGCAAAAAATCAAAAAATTCCGAGGAACTAACGAAAGTGATAAATTGGAAATATACATATATAAAAAAAAATACAAATCTGAGGTTATAACTGATGTACCCTGCCCATTTATTTATGTGCATATTTACTCGTATATGTATGCAGGCGCAAGGCGCATTGATTATCAAATACCAGTTATGCTGCAACAACGCCTGGTTAATTAAAGCATTGCAATCGGCAAGCTTTAAATGGGTAGTTCCATACTCAAACATACACATACATACACACACACATGCACATGCATACCAGTCAAACTACAAAACTACAGTATACATTTATTTAGTGAAAACTCAGAAGGTACGATGAATTACAGCGACAACATAGAACATATAATCTACACATATAAACGAAATGCTATATACATATATATGTATGCATGCATGTGCAGCGGAGAGCCAGTCAATTTGTAATCCGACACATGCCAATGCCAATCCCAGTCAACTGATTAACAATTAACCAGTTTTCGTCTGGCAGACATTAATGTCCCGGGGGTACTATAGCGAAGCACACACACGTATATGTGTGTATTTGTATGCATATGAGAAGATGCTTAGTAAGATAATGACTGCAAAAATAACTATTAAACTATGCATGTATTATCTAGTTGGTATGTTGGTATGTATGTATGTATGTATGTATGTAAAAGTTTGTTGGATATAGCCAATCGACTGTTGTGGCAGACGCAAAATTTCAGCTCTATTAGTTTAGCTACTCAACTGACTGGTTATTTGATATACACTACATACCAATTGGCAGAATTGTAATTATAGAAATTTGCTTATAACTACTTGCTGCACGTGTGAAATTATATATCCACGTACATGTGTATGTGTCTTCTCTTGGGCCTTCAAAATAATTTCAGGAGCAGACGATGCCATTCAAAATCCTACACTTCTTATAAATACAAACTGTAAGTGGTTATATTGATATGCATGTGTATGTGTGTGTGTGTGTGTGTGTGCATGTGTATGTGTGTGTGTGTGTGTGTGTGTGGAATGATACCTTCGTGCTATTAGTTTGTAGAAAAGGATTTCATTGAACGTAGTCCGGTTGTTGGCGGTAGGCAACAACAAACGCCATCGAAAGCTTGCAACACATTAAAATCATGAGCCGTTAATGGTTTTACCATTAAAATGAATTACTTGTTTCTAACATTATGTTATGGTAACATATCTCTTTACGTTAGCTTGTGTGTGTGTGTGTGTGTGATTATGACTCTAATGTTATTGTTCATGTAGGTAAGGCAAATGCAACAGCTTCCTGCGTTTAATGGAATTTAATACTTTGTAATACTTAAAATAACACGCTGGCTTAGAGCCCTGCACATATGTGTGTATGTACGTATTTATTTATGAGTATATACCCAGCAAGAATTCAGAACTGTGAGAGCGATTTTAATCATTCTTAGTACAGAGTATTCAAGCCCAGTTAACTTCTGTACTGAGTCTAAATTCAAATTATACATGAATATGACTCATTTTGAGTCAGGTCCTTTTCACAATTTCTACACCGCACCTGGAAAGGCACGGCGTCGTTTATAACTCAAAGTAATGTTTGTAGCACTTAGCTTATATGACTCATTTGTATTCACGTTCAACTAATTTTTGGATCAAAAGTAAATTTTTCCTTTATAAACAGTTCATTTGCACTCACACCTATTTCAGGGCTTTTATGTGGCTCATTGTGCTTACCCCGCATAGATTCCTGTCTCTTTATTAATTCTCATTTTGTACTTTTTGTCTCGAGCAAACTTTAACTCATGAAAATTTTGTTTAACAAACTCCAATTTATTTTATTTAAATTATTTCTGATTACTTATATGGCTGGATTTAATTCCATAAATCAGTACTTCTGAAAATGATGTATTTAATAAAAAAAATATGAATGACTGATTTGTGGCTCTTTATCTATTTGACTCGAATGAGTCATTTTGATATGTCGAATCATATTATTTATTATGATTTCTTGATAAACATATTTCTAACTTATTAGTTAGAACTCCAAAAATCCAACTCCTCTTATGCATTTATGAGTCAGTTTACGATTTTTCGATCGCCGTCCTTTCAACTTATTGGTTAAGCCTCCAAAGTTTAAAGCTCTTATGAATCATATTAGAAAAATACATTATCTTTTTCATTACTATTCACTAACAAACCTCTCTTCCTCAATATGTGTACTAATTTCATTAATTTACTTATGATTCAGATACATATGAATAGAATCATATATGAGTCAAATATAAGTCATAAGTTCTTCACATTT